TACTTATTTATTCATTTATTTATATAATGGGGGGTAGAAACAGCTACAACAGGGTCCTGGAGAATGAGACCATCCTCTTGCGACAAAAAGAGAACACTCTTGCTAGGCATTTAGGGCTCTACACTGTCCGAAACTTTGCGGAGCTTAGAGCTTACGGGGCTTAGGGGTTTAGAATTCGCACCTTTTCGCGGCGATTCTGAACAAAAACTGATGGACCATAGCTACAAAAAGAATCCAGGAACACTGGGAATCGTGCGCGTGTATCGGGTACCGTTTTGGCTGACTCCGAACAGAACGGATGCAAAGATGACTTTGATAGCATGTAGCCGGCGCTCCGAATAAATACAGTCGGCTTGTGGGATATGGTACACAGTAATGTTTACTGGGGTAGCCTAAGAAACACTGGTTACTTGTCTTAGTACTAATGAACCTAGGCCAAAACAGGTCAACCTGGAATTGCGGTAAGACTTTCTTACATACCCAAGAAGATGAAGGTTACTAACCCAGCCCGTAAGAAAACACACGAACCTTAATAATTAGAATTGGGTTTTGGATGGTAAAAAGTATACTTATTTATAGAAGGATTATAAGGAAACACTATCACAAACTATCCACCCCTTATACTACTGGCAGTTGCACGGAGGTATCTCGGGCCAGCGTCCTTCGCTGGCAAGCTGAAATCCGGAGTGGCCGCTTAGGATGGGTTTAGGGTTTAGGGNNGGTTTAGGGTTGTAGGGCTTCGGGTTGCAGGAATTAGGGTTCAGAATTTGGGGTTTACTGCCTCGGGGCTTTGTGTCCGGCATGAGGCTCAGGGATTTCAGCTTAGGGTTCGGCAGATGGGCTGTGGCTTCGAACTTGTTTAAGGCACCTTTTTCCTGGATGGGACTTTAGGGTGCAGGGAAGCCTCGGGTAGCGTTGTGCGGTTTCGGTCTGTGCGGGCCCGGATAATTTTAGGGCTTCGTGTTGATTCGGTAATGTCAATTCCTGTCGGGGATGGATTGCTGGCTACCTGACAGAGCTGAACCCAATCAGTCTGTCCTGATCGCTGGTATTCTCAGAAACGTATAACTTACTGCCTTAAATACACCGCAAACTGGCCTTCAACCCTAAGACCCTAATCTCTAAACCCAAAACCCCAAAAATCCCAAACTGCTTCCACTTACAACGCTGCGCTCGTAGAGTACAGAAGTGCGTTTGAAAAGCTCAAGCGGCCAACTCTGGACAGGATCCCTGCAGTCTGACGCCCAGGATGCTGCTGGCAGGGGCAAACCCCAGGTTTTACAAAGTTAGGGTTTAGGGTTTAG